CGGGTTATTCCATACCATATGACATCTTGCTCAGTATACAAATAGGGGGCATAGTCCAGGAAGTAGCGATCGCTACTTGGTTATCAGTCGGCGGGTGGTGAGCGATTGCATTGTGCATCACTCATTTTGTGTATTTTATCATTATTATTTTCCCTTTTCTGTTCTATTAAACTGTCTTTATCTCAACCGTCGAGTTTTTCTCACTCTTACCCTTCCGGTTCTCTCCCCATCCCACGGGGAGGGGGGGAGAGAGTGAGCGGCTGTGTGGTGTTTGGCTGCCTGCTGGGTTAAACCATGACAGTTAGAAATATAAAGATCAGATAAAAGTTATAATGTAAAAAAGAAGCTGTAAGATGATTCTGAAATACTGTTTTATCAATGTAATAATATTGTCAGTATCTAAAGGGGCATGATTGTGATAATGCCCCTCACTAAACGGGTCAGAAAGTTTCTCCAAGTAACCGATGCCACTGACAGGTAACAAATCTAAGTCCTCAGTTCTGAGTCAATACAGATAGGCAGTCCTTTGAAGTCATGCCCTGCATTGTAAAGGGCCTGGAAAGGTACAAAATGAAAATTTTCCTTTCCTCAAGGAAAGTTTCTATAGCTAGAAGCTTCTATAACTAGAAGCAATACACAGACTAACATGGCACCATGACCACGTGCAGCAGATCCAGGTAAACTTCCCCCTAGGCAGGAGCTGGTGGCCTGCCTGCAAATAGAGGTGGGAGAAGGCACTTCTAAGGCCTTCAGCTGAACTTAATCCTCTCGGAGATATCCTAAAGGTGTGCACTGCTAGGAACTGGCACTAAGATGGTTCCTGGAAAGTTCTAGATAAAATCAGATATTTTGATGGTGATTTTTGGGGACTTGGATCTACTGGTTTTTTGTTTGTTTTTTTTTTTTTTTTGCAGCATTTTTTCCTACATGCTGCGGTATGAATTCCAAGCGAGTGTGGGACTGACTTACTCATAGAGAGGATGGGAAGGGATATATATACATCTTTCTTTGCATGAATGCTTTAAAAAAGCTTCATATTTCTTGACTGTTGGTGCCATATGAAAAAAAAAATCATTTATTACCTGCATACACAGATGTATCAGAAGCTTTGTGTTTAGGCCACAGAGTAAAAGCTGGCAGATTCAACGTGTGCCTCTTATTTTGGCCGTACAAAAAAATGCATTACTTTTTGCTTTGTCTTTCTTTTCCTGTCTCATCCCCATTCACATGAAGTATCAAAGAGCCTTGAAATATCCACAAGGCATTTTCCAAATGAAAAAATCGAATTATAAATACCTTCAATGAAAAGCTCTGTTTGTGAACCGCTGGTAAATCATGTATTTATTTAGCAGGAATACTTTCTATTGATAATCAAAGAAAAGGTAACAGAAGAAAGTTAAGTGTCATTTAACATATTTTGCAAAAAAAGGAAAGTGTTTTAGAAGTGTGTTTCCCATTAAAAAGAAATGAATCAGTGGAAGATCCACTGCAAGGAAAACCACAAAGTAGCACATTAGTAGCACAAGCATGATTTCTACAAAGTCTAAAATAACATCAGAGGTTGTTTTGAGCTACTAGATTTATTTAGGACCGAAGTAATGGTGAGATTTCAGAAAAAATGTTACCTATAGGTCAATCTGAGCTGATGCACTGAGAGTGAATACACTTCACAGAGAGTTCTACTCTTTCCTAGTAAGTCTCACAGCAGCTATAATAACATCCACCAGGACATTATATGATTTGAGTGGTGCATCTACAGGTAGCAGGACACTTCTCCTTCACCAGTGAATGGTTACAGCTAAACAAGATTTTCAGATTTCTGCAGTTTCCAAAGTAGTCTTGATACTTACAAGGATTGGCTAAAATACAAGAAATAGAAACAAAAACATGAAATAGTAATTGAAAACCAAGTCCTGGTCTGATACTTCTGCTTTTTCCAAAAATTCCAAATTTTCATGTTTATATATATAGTCTTTGTACTTTTGCTCTGCTGTTAAAATTGCTTGAATATTATAGAAAAGGGAATGCAGGCAGAAAGGTGGTATCTTACAGTTCCCATCTGTTTGTAGGCTTTGACTTGCTCCACATGGAAGTCTGCAGAGCCCAGGGGCCTGTGCAGATCTTCACGTACATACGGATGTGTGAAGCCTGACGATCTGTTCGTGCCCTTAGATATAGATGTACATCAAGACATTTTGTCTTGAGCTTTCCAGAAGAGGGCAGCAGAAGATTGACTGTGTGATAACGCAACTCTTGCTCAACAGCAACACAATTTACCCGTTATCACAGGATGGTTGAGGTTGGAAGGGACCTCTGGAGGTCATCTGGTCCAACCCCCCCTGCTCATGATTGTGCCTGTTCTGGTGGGATATTTAACCATTGTTATTTCTGGGGGCAAATGAAAGGGGCAGTTGTAGGATCTTTCATCCAGATTAGCAAGAAGTAACTATGCAAAAGTAAAATGCTACAAAGGAACAACTGATGATTATCTGAGGTAATGCCATGTTTGTTGTGAGGAGGAGAATACATTCACTTACTGCAAAGCCCTCTGTCACAGTGGCCAGGGCAGTCTGCACATTTTGGTCCGCTTTTGTAAGGTGTAGCTATTTGCATTGCATTATTTCCTCTGAAATTTAAAAGAAATACAACACAAAACAAGATCAAAGTGCAGCTCTGAGCCATTAACAGGAGTTTATGTTATTTATCGCAATGAAAGGTATCCAGAAGTTTTTGGATAAAATTATTTTCATAGACAGTCATGTTTTAGTTTCAGATATTCTTAGAATACAAGAACTTTGATTTTAAATAAGAGGGACAATTTAGGGAAA